GAACCACAGTGGCTAAACCAACAGAACTCCGAAACAATGGAAATTATGCTGGGGCCCGCACAAAGAGTGAATACGGACCATCAAGAATGGAAGTAAGTAAGTAAGTAAGTGAATAACATTAGCCACTACCCTTGGAATTTATTGAGATATGATTAAACTGTTATGCCCATTCCATAGTTATATTAGGTATTGAACTTTATGAATTACCCATAACATCGTCATCCTTCATTTAGCGCTTTTCCGCTAATTTCAGAAATTTTCTCCAATTATTTTTTTGGTGCTCTGTTGTTACGAATTTTACTGTGATGACGTTCTCTTACTGGTTACTCCATTCGACCTTCACCGTCTATTATTGATACTTAGAAACTTTATACAATTCGACTACTGCGAAGATTAAAGGGCGTATGAAGAAAGAGTTCAAATAAGAGATAAAAGAAAGTCTCCGTCAGGATGCTATACAGTATCATCATATCGCTTAGTAGCGAACACTATAGATAGTCTTGAATCCGTTTATAACACTGAAATTCATGTAGTATAATTTGCTAACAAATATGATATTATGAGAAACTACACAATGGTTGTGATTTATAATGAAGGTGTAACATTGAATGAAAATCCAACTCATGGTGATCAGTTATCATTAGGATCAAAGAACGATCACTTCTTGTGCACAGAGTCGAGCAATGAATCGATCAATAAATATATTTTTCACTGCATTTATGATGATTTTTTAACCGTTATGTTATACGGCTGTTCGTAGAAGTTCTACACGAATGTCACACAAACATCAATCTGACGAAATGTACGTTAACATATGACGTGAAAGTCGTAAGTGTTGGATGATTTGATGTTTTAAACAACGTTTACGCATAGTTGACATTGTTCACATGTAAGGGCAGACAGGTATTAGCCAAAACGCATTTAACTCGAAAAAATAACTACTTTCAACTTTAAACGGGTTTCTCCTGACTCCCATTAAGCCTTTCGGCTGGGGTAAAAATCCTAGAAATTTGCAGATTTTTGCCTGGAAGATAAGCGTTTTCTTATTTTACGAGGACAAAATTCGGATTTTCAGGATCACATGAGAGATGTTTAGTACTGTTCTTTTCTTGTATCAAATCTCGTATTTCGAACACGAACGCAGATGAAGGAGAAGGTTTTCGGTGAACGGGAGGCGATGGTGTTTGTTAAAGTACCAATCATTCGTTGGTGTTTGCGATAGGCAAGCGTCAGATCTTTTCAAAACTCGAATTTAGTGGTAAATTTTTTATTATAAGAATATTTGAATTATTGTTGTATAAATACTTGTACTTAAACTTAACAATCTTTAGAATTCTCTAGTAATCGAGAAACTATCCACATTTATAGGAAACCGGCTTCAGGCCTCATGCCAAACAGTAGTCTAGTACAGGAATTCAAGAATAGAAATGAGAGCAGGAATATAAGAAACAAAGAGAAGAAAAAGGAGTAGGAGAGAGCGAAAGAGAAGATAGTACATACAAATGCAAAATGTGATTTTCACGGACACAACGAAGAATTTTCTTCGTGCTCTCATAGGAATGACATAAAGCACATGTTCTGCTTGGAATACGTGTTATATTTCACTTGTTCTGCTTATAAGAAACAACTTTATTGAGAGTTTATGAGATGATCCTTTCATACGATGATGCATAAGACGAACGTTTGATATCTCTAGCAATAAACTTGTTTGAGATGAAATCATGTGCGAACGCCAGCCCAAAGAAAATCTGATCATTGACCAGTTGTATGCACGAAAACTCCAAGATGCTTATTCATTCAAACTGCATGCAACCTTGTCAACGAAACATTAACCAACCACTTCTCAACTGGCCACTGTGATTATTGAAGGAAGCCTACTCGATGACCAACTAGTAAATAATAATTGTAATTGAACCAAGCAGTAGTGACAAGCAAGTGAACAAATGATAACTATAACGATTGTAATTAAAATTTCTTTGCCTCACAATCACTGTCATCTTTACCAGGCAACAGATTCCTGTTAGTGCAACAATAGCGTGTGCTAAAAATAGGGCGCGCCATTAATTAGAGCGCAGTATGATTCCGTTGGACCGAACATCAAAGAAGTCTACGAATTGCTTTTTTAGTGGGTAAGTACAGTTTGCTTCCTTTCACATTTTTTCTGTGTAACACATTCGTTTTGATTGATGTTAAACGTAAAAGTTCTCTTAAAATTGTGAAAAAGGAAAAATATGATGTGAACATCAAGTTACTAATCTACTTCTTAAAATGAATTTGTTAAAAAAAGTTCGCTGTGTTAATCTGAAAACACTAGCAATAGAACTGTAAACAGCATATACTAATTATGCTTATTTGAATACTCGTACGGTTCGCCTTCAGTAAAAAAAAGAAAGAAAGAAAAGAAATCATCAAGGCAATTTGTATTTTATATCCAATCATTTTTTATGGTCTTACAATACTTCCTTATTCAAGATCTTCGAGAAATCCTTGCCAAGGTACTCTCCGCTCGCGGACAATTAACCACGGCTGTTGTTGTAGAGCGGAAGGAGGTTGGGCAATTTTCGACCAAATTTTGTAGGTGGAATTCTGGAACCAAGTGTCAGCAAACCTTGTTGGGATTCCTGTGGAGAAGTTCGCTCTTTATGGCAATTTGAAAACTTTCTTCTCGACCCTGCAGCTAAGATCCGGCGCTAAATAATTTTGAAGACACTTGTACAGTGTAGGCTGCAATAAGCGGACAGTCTACTAGTTTTCCTTCTAGTAAGGTTTAATTGAGCATACATTATTGATATTATTATCGGCAAGGCTCTTTATAAGATGTTGATGGTATCCCGATTTTTTTTCAAGATGACAAAATAAATACATTTATCAGTGCCTATGTGTTGAAATGGCGCCATTTTTGTGCGTTCTTATCAGCACATCAAAAAATGGAAAGTTATCACCGTGTAATTCACTTCTGTTACGGAAAAAAGTCATAGAGTGGATTGTAGTTAAGTTAAAAAGTTTCTGGATGGAATTCTGGAAAAATGGATTCTCAAACCACAGAAGCACCTTCACTGATGCGAGCAAGAGGATAGTATATTACCAAATTCGGAATGCATTTTTTCTTAATAAGAGTCTGGATTCGGATCCATAATTTTAATACATACTAGATCCTAGCGTTACGATAATTATTTTGCTTTCCTTTGTGATAACCTATGCTTATGTTCTAAATGTTAACAATTTTGTGATTCAGAAATTCGTTATCAATATCAGTCTATAGTCAACTAATCCGCTGTTTTTGTCTAAAAATAGAATGCAAAGGCACGATATGATGCTTCAATGTTTTCCTTCTTTTCAGCTATTAATACAAGAAAAATAGACGAGAAGAAATTGTTTACGCGTTCACATTACGCTTCCGTGTGAATTCTGTGCGGTTGGTCTTCACACGATATACTCAGTGGAAAACTTATAGAAAGCGGTGAGTGTGCAGAGCTGTGTCCAAGGTGATTGGAATCTTGGCTTAGCGTTTTCTCTGTTTTGTTATGAAGGTGTTTGGCCGAATAGGTTGCTGTCAACTTAACCTTTCCAGGTTCTAAGGAAGGCGAAATCCGCCGAAGCGTCAGCTTTTACGTGAGTGGGAAGTGGAATAGCACCTCGTGTTTGCTGAACAGAAGTGGAAAGAAATTGCTTAGTTGCACGCATGACGTCATTATCATTCATTATTGTTCTGTCACAATTCGCATGTAAATCATCTAAGCGTCACTGATGTAAAGAACAATCACTATTATTTTCTTTTTCGCATTACACAACAAGATATTAGCAATAGTAAAACTCTTGAGACGTTCTGGATAAAATGCAAAAGTCCGGAAGCGCACAGAAAGCGCGAAATCCTCACTATCTAATTTTTGAATCAGTGAGATTCATTCACCATAGTAAGTGAACTGGAGAAAAATTGTCTCAATGTTTGTAAACGGAAGCGATAGCCACTTCTTAACGGACAAATATCTGATTTGGTTTATAAACCAGATTTTTATTAAAACTACAGAAAATTCATTGAATGAAAAAAATACACCTATATAACAACATGTTTAAGCTCCGAAGAAGGCAAAGTCGTCGTAACGTCAACCATCAAACAACAAAATACTACCCCGTGTTAGCTTAAGAAGGAGAGTTCATAGGATATGCTGATGAATGCCAACTCTAGCCGTCCGTCGGCCACTCGAAAGCGCAATAGTGTTTTCGCACTTCTAATTGTGATCTAGACAATGTGTTTTTTCCTTCAATTATCTTCATCTTAACTAAGCACTACCAACTGTTTACCGCCTCACTGTGGTTGGGAGAAGTTCCTGAGGTGTCGGACTGCGATGCACAGCGGATGGATTCATCACCCAAGCAGAGCCTCCCCAGGTGAGAAGTGGTCCGACGTTTCCAGCGGGAAGCCTAGCTAAGAGTAAACCAGTACCGAGAATAACTACCGTCCTGCTATCGAACTAGTCGTTCGGTGGTAAATCTCCCTCTGATCCGTAGCGGCAGCGAATGCACGAGCTGGTGACGAACTGAGAAAGGCTTCGGTTAAGCTGACCCCGGGACTCCAGGGAACCACAGTGGATAGATCAGCAAATGGAAATTATGCTCTGGCTCACATAACCAGTAAAGGCAGACCATCGAAGTGGAAGCAGTAGTAACTAAGGGAACCAGCTACCCGTATATTCTGTATATTTTCCAAAGTATCGTAGACAAACCAGACACCACGCAATTCTGCTTTGCTTGATTTTAACCCAACGAATGTACTCCGTACACGTCATCACCACACTTAAACAGCGAACTTATTAGCACATGTGTTTGCGATTTCTGCGAAACGCTCATCGCTCGGCATTCACCGGATGCACGCCTGCTCTTTGTAGGCCAAGCGACGAGAGTGCGCTGCGAACGCATAGACGCAGACCACGTGACCACATGGATAGGATATACAGTAATAGGAGACGAGAGTGCGTCAGACAGCGACACGTCGTGATGAGATGACGTACTGGGCGGCGGAGGGTGGCGGACGACGACGAACGCGACGGTGGCACCACACGTTTGTGCGCTCGACACGGTCGCGTCGGTCGCCGCGCTGCCGCGATGGCCGGCGGACGGGCGGGCGGGCAGGCAGCCAGCCAGGCAGCCAGCAGGCCGGCGGGCCACACGCGCTGTGCTTCCGTCGTCAGTCTGTTCTGTGCTGTGCGGTGTGCTGTGCTGTGGTCGGTGTGCGTGTATTCGAAGAGGCGAGCCAGCCAGCGAGCAAGCGTGCGTGCTTTGCGGTGTGTACAACACGTATGATGTTGTCGCCGATTATCACTAAAGACATGAAGCTGTTCCCAAGTCGTCCACTACCAGCCGGCATTAAGAACGTCCGTAGTCGAGCACAAAGTCTCGACCATTTCAATCAGATGCAGAGTAGTGGCAGTGCACGTGGTCGTGTTGTCACGGTAAAACCACGTAGTTCTCAGTCGACTGGCAATCTGCCAGCGTTTGCAGCATCTTCGACTTCAGGCTCGATGACGTCACGCAGTCCACCGAAAACGATCGTACATCGCAAGACCACGTTGACTGCTATACAGGAAGGCGTTGAGATGGGTCACAATCATCATCATCCGAATCCGAATGCGAATGCGAATGCGCTACGTGACGATCGACATACGGAAAGGTGAAACACTCTCTATCTACAAATCCTAGTTCTCTGCTTTCTTCAGTGTTGTTTGTTTTCTGTATTGCCTACCACTCAACAGATTGCGGTGGGTAGTAAGTTTGAATATTTCTATAAAGTCTTTCATTCATGATAATTCTCTAGGTTATGGTAGTGTTTCGCGTCTCATCGTTATCACTACTATGTATTTCAGTCAAAAGGACGGCAAACTATCGTCAGCTAGTCGAAGGAACTCGAAAAAGACGACGAAGAATAACAAAGAGAATGAGACGACGGCAAGAAATGGCCATTGCAAATTTTCCGAGAGCACGGGCGCTGCTGAATGTCGACGTGAGAAAAAACAAAGGAAAAGTGTCGTCAAATGGATCACATCGGCTTTTCGAAAGTCGAAGGATGAGGATTCATCTGATCATTCCAATTCGAATTCCAGCTAGGTGTGCGTTTTTTCTTTTTGCGTTTTTCATTTTTTTCTCGATCGTTTCTTTGTAGACTTGTCGTATTAGTCACTTGCGTCCTATTCGGCAATGATTGATGATGCGTTTTAGAAGTGGTTTAGTGCTCTACTACGCTAGTTTTCTTTTCGTCGGCATTTTTTCATAGCGTTATCTATTTATTGGTCGATCTGTCGGCTACCTATGTCCGTACTGTTTTTTTCTAAATGATTTTTCCAGCTCATTTGGGGTATTGTGTAGTCGGATGCACTGGCTACATGGTGTGCTTCCAGCATATAGTAGTGATTCTTCTTGATATGGTCTTGATATTCATTTTTTTTCCCTTCTTTTCTTCCTAACACGACTTTGCACCAACTATGGTTGCTGAATGCGTTGCCGTGGGATCATGACCATCGCTGTTTCATTCCTTCTTCTTTTCCTTTTTCCTTTTGCTCTTTAATAATCATCATTGTTGATTTATGTTTAGTTGGAATTCTTTCATTCTTAGAGCTCACTTTTCCAAATTGCAGCTTCGTTTGCTCCGATCCGACCAGTTTTTTGTGCACTTCACGTTCCGGTCAATGTGAGTTTCTTTTAGTTCTCTACTATTTAGTTGATTTTCACCACAGCAGAACCATTTTTTCCTTCTGGAATGTTTGTGGTAGTGATGTGTTAGAGGCTGTTTTGTGCCTTTCTATGTTCATCCGCTCTGTTGCTCATAGTGTGTGCTTCTTGTGTTTCAGGTTTGCTCTATTCCAGTCGTTGTGATTGTGTCACCTTACGGTCAGTGTTCTGTATTTAAGGAGCTTTATAACATAATATAGTTTACAAGTTTTAGTAACAATATGGTAGCATTAGTTGTTGCTTTTTCAATAGTTTTTTCTATATCTCACTTGTATATCATCAGGAAGTTATGGTTCGGTTTCACATAGTCTCTTGTCGGTACTAACTCCATATGAATTCACATTTATTGTATGTAATGTATACGTAGTAGTTCATAGTTACATTTATTTCCTAGAAGTTTCTCCGGGTCATTTTTGCATTGCTTCGCTCACCTACGCGTTGTTTTCGCATATTTGTACGGTATCAATCGTGTTGAGACGCTGCTTGTACTCACCATCACTTCGAACTCATCTGTCTGTTTTGTTGAGTCCTAGTAGGCGAAGCATATGAGTAAGTAGTGTACTAGCGTTTTTCTTCTTTTCTATCTTTACCGTATTCAAAGTGAAAGCGCGTACGAGTAAATCACACGAGTTGTTGGATGAGAGTTTGCTAATTTGCTACTGATCCGTGTTGTTGAATTTCTTACATATACATATATGCCTAATAAAGAAGTTGAGGTGTAGTGTTGTGTATCGGAATTGACCAGATGGATGTTTGTGGTTCAATCACAAGACCATGATAACTACTACACTACTGCATTCCACGCTTTACTGCCTGCCCGCCTGCTGAACGTGTATATGCTCAGCTGTCGTTCGTTATCTGATGACTGTAACTTCCGTTTCAAATCATCAGTTCGCACAACAACCAACGTTATTCGACAGCACGTGTTCTGTAGTCAATATCTGTGACGAAACGATACGTGCAACTACATACGTCACTAGGCAGCCATTCAGCGATTGCTTTCCCTTTTTCTTTTTCCTTTCTTAAATGCAATGCTGCAATGAAAGTTTCTAACAAGTTCGACTTTCTATAACAATAATGCTTGCGGTTGTAATTGTGCATGAGGTGCGTGTTTTGCCGTGGTTAGAGATACTCTGAAATACACATATGGTTTGTTGGTTCGCTTCCGCCGCACGAACTCACCAAGCTTTCCATCCATCCTGGATCAGCGAAATGATACCGGACTTGCCTGGGGGATAGCAGTACTGAAGTGATACATCGGCAGGTATTCTATAGGCCGGATATATATTCACTCACTTCTAGCGATACTCGGTATGATTTGAGCTTTATTCTCATCCTCTATCCTTATTTCCAATGGTGCATAATTTTTAAGCTGCATTAAATGGATAAAGGATACAGCTCTCAGCGTTGATCAATCCCTAAGGGATGCGCCATGCATTCGACTTCAATAAGCGTCGTTTGGAGGTGATTGAATGCATATCTGTCCTTTACAATGACTCGCAGTGGCCTACCGATGTATTGTGCCAGTGCTGCTACCCTCGCAGACAAGTCTGGTACCAATTTGCTGACCCCGGAGGGATGGAAGGTTTTGTGGACCATGGGCGCGGGGATCAATTCCACGTGTGTGTCGCGGTGGCGCTTCCAACCACTGCGCCACACTCGCCCGATTATGCTATATTAACAACTAGAATGCAGTTGAATGGCAGTTTGGTTCTTGTCTAAATGTTCGTAATTGGTTTTAATGCTCAAATAGCGTTCTGATGTCTCAGCAAACAGTGAGATGGTCAAGTGTTGTGATGATGGTGATGGTGTATTGTTTGCACGAAAAGCCACTATTTTTAACTGTTTGACGTAGAGCGATCGATAGTGCTTGAATGATGGCTGTTGTTGTTTTGAGGGGTGTAGCAGAGCATTGTATTAATGCTTCTGTTGAGTATGCAATCCCTCACATACTCGGCACTAATAATGCAAACATTTGAAATTCTTATGAATGTACATATATAAAAATAGGCCAGTGTATTATGTACAAATTAGCATGGAACATGTAATGTCACTATTCGCGTGAACATTCCTCCATAGAGTAACTGAGTTGCAAACAGGTATTGTAGGATGGGACGAGTGCACGTCAAACCATACCAGCCACTATCACATCATCACTTAAAACAGCATAGAAATTATTAAAGGATTAAATAAATGGATATAAATTGTGAAAGTACAGCCAGATATTGTTCGCATACTAGGAGGGAACTGCAAAGAAACACTATCGCTGAACTGTTAACTGATATTTCAGATGGCACGCGACGGTTAAAATACTTCGGAGACTTTGTTCCCATTCCAGTTATTACATTCTGGACCTAGTAAAAGTTGTGTAAATAGGGAGTATCAGCGGTTGCATGAGAGATTAGACGATTAGTTCTCTAATTTTTGAAGTCGGCAAATATAACTAAAGTTCTATGGTAGTGTAACGAGCTGAATGAATAACTGGATAGTTCGTAGTGAAAGGAATAGTGAGAGAATTTAGTGTTGCTTTCTGTTGTTGACTCTTCATAGATCCGTTGCTGCCACTTTGAACCTATGAGAACTTATAAGCATCCTGAGATTGGCTATCTTTACCTCAAATTTGTGTAGCAATAATAACATAGCGAGAACAATAACTGTACAGGAGTAAAGTGGCCTAATGGATAACTTCAACACATCGACGATGCAAGAGCCTAGGAACACTGCAACTAAAATTAATCGACTTTTGCTAATCTAAAGAGGAGTGAACCAGAAATATTAAGCAGCAAAACAAGAATGGTTCCGAAAGTAGATAATGATTCTTACATGGCCTCTGGAGTGGACAACGGTTACTGTAAAGATTTTTTCACAGCTAGTGTTTTCACAAGCATGCAAATGTTAATGCGGAAAGAGATCACAGAGCTTTTCCATCGTATGGTGAGCTGTATGAATAATGAAACAGTTTGTAGCGAAACGAATTGTTAACCAGACATTTGTATCTTCTAGCTACCTGCTTTCCTCCGTTATTGTTTGTACGTTTGGGTAATTAAACCTCATCAACAACAAGCCATTACACAGTACAATGGGTGGATGGAGAGTTATTCAATAATGACGAATTATGTTGCAGATGGAATGCTTTTATACCATTCTATGGATGCAGAAATACTCGAGAATGATATAATCCTGGTACAGAGAAAATACAACTCCAAGTTATTTAAATAAAAAGTGCATAATGTTAACCCTTTCATTTACTGCCTATTACAGTTTTTCACGATAGGGTATTATGTGTGATACAACCACAATGATGCTGAGACATTTGCAAAACTCCGAACAGCTGGTGCCTGCGGTGGGGAACAAACGCGCTATTGTCCTTTCCGGGGAGTAACGCGTTCACCACCACACCGTGTGGGTCCTTCGTTACACCTGTCTCTCAGCTAGTTCTACAGTGTATGTGCTTTAAATGTATAAAAAGTGTAAATTTTTCTTTTTAAGATTGAAATAGCCTCCATATGATGTAGCGTGTTAATTAGGCAGTAATACATTTCTCTACTTTTATGTCTTTTTTTCCTCTTTTTTAATTCTGTAGTCTCCATGGAATCACCAGTTAACAATGATTTGCCATTGAAACTTTTCTGAATTCCTAATAGGTCTACGTACGTTATGATCTATGTTGAAATTTTTACACAATGGACATATTACATAGTTTACGCTTTTTTATTTTTATATATGACCCGTCTTCATATCTACTGTGCGGATTCTAGCACTTTTCACATTCGATTCCTTTCCTCGCATCCATTAACCACAAAGATCATCCAACTTTTACGTGTAGCGTCGGATTCTGTTCAAGGGTTTTCACTTCATCTTGAATGCCGTGGAATGCCGCTCGAGTCAACTTTCTCTGGAGTCCTGATATAGTCGGGCTGGAGCGTACTCAACTGATTGCAGAGAGTGG